ATGGGTGCTTACACAGCTGCCTGTTCAAGCCTCTGCATTTTCTGTCCCACAGATGCACAGAGCCAACCCCAACAATTTAGAGTCCTCTGTCCTACATAGCCCTGGGGCATTCTGAGAGCACCTACCTCCCACCCATCCTCCTGACCCAACGTGAAGATTCACCTGTGAGAGGTACAAACAGCCCTGGCACCTTCCCATCTCCAACAGGCATGTCAGTGAAAACCCACTGCTCTCACCACTCAGTGACCATGGCAAGAGCTTTTCCTACCATCTGCCAAAGGATGGATTGCCACCCTCCAAAACTCATCAGACTAAACACACACAAAGAACCAGCCCAATTTACATCATGGCCACAACAGCATAATGACAACCTCCTCTCCCTCTGTGTTTCAGGCTGATACTTTGAAACAACAACAAGAAAAGAAGCTTTTTACTTAGTAGGTACTAAGTAAACTAAGTTACTACCCAGAAGAAAAAATAGTAGTTACTGGTTCAAGAAGCAAAATCTGCTGCTTGGGCAGCTAAGTCTGGAGCATCCCTGTCAGCCTCTGGCTCACATCACACTTGCCCTCACCCTCTCCCAGGCCCAAATCTCAAGTGTATTTACTATTCAAAGCAAACAGGAGTTTAACAGCGATTTGCTGCCCTCTCCTGAGCGAGCCCCGGTGCCTGTCAGTGGCTCTGCAGACAGACAGACTCCTTCAGCTGCTCCCATGCAGAAGGAATGGCAGTGCTGTGGAACCAAAGGGCTGTGACAGGGCAGGATAGGAGTGATCATCAGCTGTGACACACCAGGACAGCAGATCAGCTACACAGCCTGAACGTTTTGGTATTCACAGAGGGCATTCCTGGCATTTTGGTTTTGTAACTCTCAGGTTAATTTTTCTCTGTGGAAATACATAGAAATACCTCCCAGCACATTCTATTCTCAATAGTCACAAACAATTCAGAGCAGAAGCAGACCATGAGATATATAAAGAAATAGAAAAAAAATTACTTGTAGATTTAATTTGTAGGGTAATTTGATGAGGTTTATTTTTTACTAAACCCACTTAAATCTTTTATATCCTCCAGCAGTGCTCCATCCTGTCCTTTCAGGGAGCATGGAACTTTACCTAGGCATACAGTATGTACACACACACTATCTCAGAATAAAACACTGTAACCTGCTGCTTTCAATGCACTTCCCCATGATAACTAATCTTTTGCAGAAACCTGTTAAATTAAATTGTGCTCTCCATTAAAGCCCTCCAAATAAGCCCTATGAACCTGATGGAGCCTTTGTTTTCATATGCAAATATAGACATAAAACAAGTAAAAGTCACTTCTAAACATTTCTCAAATCTTTGTTTTGCCATGTACCCTAGGACAGAGAAGATGTCCCATGATGTCAACACTGTTTTCTTGGAACTCTCTCTGGGCTGCCCTTCATGCTTCAATCCTGAAGGGAAATGAGAGGTTTAGAGAAGGCCAGGCAGCCTCATATTCATGAGCAAGAAAAATGCCTCTTACCATTTGTAAACAATGCAACAAATGCCAGATCAGGCTGCCACCAAGGCATCCACTGAAAGTTCTCACTCAGGCACACGCCCAGCACCCAGCCCTGACTGCATGAGAGGGATGTGTCACCTCCACACTATCTCCAAGCACTGCCTAATCTGCAAGTGCTGCATGGAAGTGCCTGTCCCAGTGACCAAGCCCTGCAGAGGGTGATAACGAGCTGTGGCCTGTGTGTACAGATGTGATATTTTCACTGCACGCCTGAGGGTGCAGAACTCATGAAAGTGTAAATAAAGAACAGGGGCAGGTTCCCAAGGGTCACATGGACCCAGGCAATCTGTAAACAAGGGCCTGCAGCAATCTTGAAGCAAAACAGAACTGCTATCACCATATGGTACAGGGACTGTGGGGTTATGGGTTAAAATTCTCTGGGCTCCAAAATCAGCTTGCTTTGCTTTCAAGCCTTCTTTTTCTCTATAAAACATGCAGAAGTCACCATAAAAATAACCGAGAAACAAGGCATTTGGAGGAAGAACAAAGCAGTGTGCCTTCCTCAATATCATCTACCAACCATTTGGTCCTTCACTTAGGAAATGCTGACCTGCTTTTTAGACACCTCAGCTTTGGAGCTCTGCATCACAGAGGCTGCAAACACCTTGGTCTGGTCTCGCAGGTTTCTTTAACCTGGTAACTTTCAGAGAAAGGAGCTGCTTGGAAGCATCTGAACTTTTGGCAAGGCACTAGACTGTCCAGCAGGCCTGGCAGCCCAACCCTGCATGGCATGGGCTTGGATTGGCCTCGATACCAGAAAATTATTTGCAAAGCAGCTTAATAGCTTGCGCTTATTATGTTTGCCATATTTCACCCCTGCTTCCCCTTCAAAGCATCTGTGCATTCTTGGACAGTGTCCCTTCAGAATGAAAGCCAGTTCTCTTTTCAACGACATCCCAGCAGATCCTCCACTGGGTAGCAGAGCAAGAAAGCATTTGTGACATGCAGATTCCTGAGCCAGGAGAAGGCAAGGTATGCAGGCTCTGGATTTATGGATTAGACATGCTGCCATGGCACACAAATCACTCTGCACTCAGTGCAATTCATTATCACAGCGCCATGGCTGGTCAAATTTTTCACAGGTGCAAATAATGCCAAAAAGGCTTTTAAACTTCCATGTGCCAAGACTTAGTGATGCAGAGTCAGGAGCGCTTCTGCCTGCTTAGGGAAGCAAAACCGAAGTCAGCAGTTGTTCTGTCTCTCTGGACACACTGGGCCATGAAGGATTTTCAGCACCCCATGGCAGTGTCAATAGACTAAGCTGTCACAGGGCTGGGACTGTGCCTGCTCCCATTTTAGCCTCTCCCAGCAACTGAACCTGTTGAACTGCCCACATGCACCAGGAGCACATTCAAACCCAGGCAAATTCAGCTAAAAACCTGCAGGTCCCAAAAGCACCAGGTGTTGCAGTGAGAAGCCCCAGGTGCCCGGGTCGGCGGTGCCGATGGAGCTGAGGCGGGAAGATGGAGGCCTGTGGGTCCCCTCACGGGGCCTCATGGAGCACCAATCTGGAGCTCTCCACAGAGGAGGAGGCTGCTTGGTGGACCTGTGTCCGTCCTTGGAGGTTGTGGTCATAGTGATATTGCAGGGGATACTGGTGCAAGAGGTGCAGTCCCCAGAAGAAAAAATAAATCTGAGTTGGACCCCCATTTCCTTGGGTGCCTTGCTGCCACATCCAGTCAGGCCAATGCCACAGGGATTAGTGCTGGAGGGACACGGGGCACAGCAAGGAAAAGGCAGTAGGAGACACCCAAGGCAGAGCGCCACGTTACTCACCTCAGTCAGGCTGGCCCCGGCACACACAGCATCGGGAACGTCCTTCTGAGCCATCGACTCCACCCGCGCGCTGCCCGTGAGGGGCCCCACCGGCCTCCATCTTCCCGCCTCAGCTCCATCGCACCGCCGTCCCGAGCACCTGCGGCTTTTCACTGCAACCCCTGGCGCGTTTGGGGCTAGCGCGGCCCCCTGGGCTGAGCTGAGCCGAGGTGGAGCAGCCTGAGGCAGAGAAAAGCCCCAGGACTTCCTTCCTCCCCTCAGGCGGCGCCGGAGTGCCCGGACCGGCTCCTTCAGCTCCTTCGCCCGTCACGGGCTCCCTCAGCGGCCTGGGGCAGCGGCCAGCGGGCCGCCAGGGGGCGCTCGGCGGCCGCGGGGCAGCGCCCCCTGGCGGTGCTCGGTCACTGCCCCGGGTCCCGCCACTGTCCCTGTTCGGTCACTGCCCTCCCTGTCCCGTGTCCTGTCACTGCTCCATTACTGCCCTCAGCTGTCCCATGTCCCCATCCCCTTCCCCCGCCTGTTCGGTCACTGCCCCAGCCTGCCCCTTCCCCTGCCACCGGCTGTCCTGTCCCCACCGCTGCCAGCAGCCCCTGGGCAGGGCTGTTCTCGTGGCCGAGCTGCATTCGGTGTGAGCTGAGTGGGGAATGGACCCCCCGTGACTTGGGTTTGGGGGCTGAAGGGCACAGGTCGTTCACCTGCTGGTCACCCCACAGCCCGCTGCCCCCACAAACACCCTCCACATTGCAGCTGCATCACAAAACAAGCAGCCACAAAGTGGCTTTGGAAGAAACTCTGTGTTTGTCCTGGCCCATGGTAGAAGACAGCAGTTGCCAAAGTTTAACTCTACGGTGCACTCCAGTAATTTCTCCACCTGCCCTCAGGATTTGTTTAACTTGGCACAAAGTCTGAGGGTTAGGAACAGTCTCAGGGAGCACAACAGCATGCAAGATACCCAGTGCTGAATAGAAAAATATGCCCTTTACATCATCGTACATACATAATTTTATTTAAATTTTGCTTTATTTCAAAAATAATTAAGGGACACCATAAACAGCAGTAGGCACATCAGTGGGGTTTGTAGTCTGAGCCTCTCAAGACCAGATCTCTTGTGCCGGGCGCCATACAGGCACAGTCAAACAATTCTTGTCTTCAGGATGAATTTCTCATAAAGATTCAGGGCCCCAGTTTCACTCAATTAAGTCAGTATTAAAACTAAAGTAGACTAAAAGGGAAGCAGATAAGGTAAAGTGAGTGGGCTTCTAGACATGTCCTCCCTCCCGCAGAAGAACACTGAAAAAGATGCATCAAGCAAGAAGATATTTCCTTTCCCCTTTCCTTGGGAAACCAAGGCAGGAGAAGACTAAATCCCTAGTCCAAAGCTCTTAATGCTGTCTGTGGTAGCAGAAGGAAATTATTTCTCCATTTTCCTAGCTCAGTACTCAGTTTGCTGTCCACCTCTGTCCTCACCTGACCCAGCACAATCAGAAGCATCCTGGGAAATATGGCTGGAATGCTGTAGGAGGGGAGGGATCGAGCACTGGAGCCCCTATGACCTGTTTGAGTCAGTTCTGCTCACTGTAGTTTATGATTTCCTTAGTCTAACAAACCACTTCCAGCTCAGACAAGCAGCCAAGATCATGCTAAAGAATTTAAAGCATTGAAAAAACATATTAAGAACACAGAAAATGTCTGATCAGCTCAAGTCCTGCTTCAGATTGCAGTCAGGATTAGATGCTGTACTAAATTGTCCCCTCTGGGTGTCACAAACTACAGGACTTTGGCACAGCGTCCCCCAAAGGAAGGAGGGTCTTCTGTCTCGTGATGTTAATAATTGTTGGAGGGGTCTGTTGAAGAAGATACCCAAGGGTCTCCCTGGTGGCCAAGTTCTTGGGTGGTGCTCCGGACTTCAGCGCTCATTCTCCGAAATTTCCGCAGGTAGACAATGATGAGGATAACCAAGATGGTCTGGAGGATAAGGAGGATGAAGAGGGAGAGCTGAGAGAGCAGAGCCAGGCTGCAGTACCAGTGCTGGCACGTGGAGACGATCTCATCCTCAGTCAGGTAGGCGATGATGCGGCCCTGCAGGTGCTCCGGGGAGCTGCACCTCACATCCCTGTACAGGCTGCGGTTCTGCTGCCACTGCAGCCAGGAGCGCAGGTAGAGGATGTCACAGGTGCATTCCCAAGGGTTGCCCTGCAGGTAGACTGCCTGGAGGCTCCTCAGGTTGTCAAAGAGCCCGTTGGGAATAGAGGTGAGCCTGTTGGAAGCGAGGTGGATGATTTCAGCCGAGGGACGGAAGGCAGTGGGCAGGTTTTCTACAGTCAGGTTTTTCAGTGAGCAGTCAGTGATCCTGGTGGTGCACCTGCATGGCACAGGGCATGTGGGTGTCACGAGTGGGAGGAAGCCAAGGAGGGACAAGAGAATTCCACTGTTCATTTTCACCTGCAAACACTTCCCTGGTGAGATTGGAGGAGGTAGAGACCAGACACCACGCACTCTAGGGCTGACACCACAGCCAAGGTCTTCTGGTGTTTTGTTCTGAGGATAAGCTTCTAAAGTTGGGTGAATTTGGTGCTCTCCACTGGAGACACGAGAGCTCTGAAAAGAACAGAGTTAAAAGAGAAAATTCTGGTCTCTCAGTATAGGTGAAGGAATTTTCATGGTCTTCCAACCCTGGATTTGAGGAAGGATATGAATACATGGTACTGGAAGGCTTAGCTGCAGCCATCAAATACATTTTCACTAGTCCTCAGAAGTGTAGAAGAGCTGTTTGTGTTTTCACCATTACTGAAGGTGAATTATCAGGGTAGCCAAGAAAATTTCTTTCAAGGAATCAAAAACTAGGATATGAACTTCCTCATGCCTTATCATAGTTCTGGATTACATCTGTAAGCAAAGCTTTGTTCGTGCCAACTGCAAGATGAGATTCAGAAATAAATCTACTGTTACCATGAGTAAAAAATAGCCTTTCCAGCCTTGAAAAGAAGTGATAAAAAGTCTTTGGCTGCAGTGAAGGTGCTGACTACTGAGGATGGAGGCCAGTGGAGTTTTTCATGCCAGACACTGCTCCAGCAGGTGAATAATCACCTGAGCTCAGAGACATGGGTCAATGAGCTTTTTATATGTTACAGTCTCATGCCACTGCTGAACAGGAGCTGCTGTAACTTCTCCAGGAGAACAACTACACATACCTGCAACAAGGCAGCATTTTTCTGTGCTTGACAAATTGTAATAGTCAATCAATTAAATAAAATTTTTTAAAAGAGTAGAAGGTAGCATTAATGAACTTACCAGAGTAGTTCAATCCTTGCTTTCTTGCTGGCTTTACAGCACCAGAGAAAGGTCTCGAGGCAGCCCAGCCAGTGCAGTGTGTGTGCAGAGCTCTGCTCCCGGATAATCCCTTTGCAGCTGGCTGGCAAGATAAGGCTCAGCCTCATCCCAGGGACACCTCCCACATGGGGCCTTCCTGCAAGCCTGCTGCATGTCACCGGAAGCTGAGGCTTCATTGAGCAAGTCTTCCAAGAAAGGGGAGCTGACACTGCTCACAAGAACACATTGCTGGGTGGTAACTGTGATTCTGGGCCTCAACAGCCCAGGAACTCAAAATGCACTTCAGACTGGAGGTGATGTTACTGCTTTGTACCATACTCCCTCAGCACTTTGGTTTCCCATCTCATCAGGAAAACTTAGCAGAGTGGTGACACCTAGAACTTTCTGGGTGCACACCCTCAGGTTTCCCTTGAAGCAGTGACACAAATCCAGTTCTTATTAGTGAAAGATCTGCTGATAGACATGGTCTGCCAGTCCATCCATCTTTCCAGAGAAAGACTCTTCAAATGGCCCACAGCCCTTGACAAGTGCAGTTACTGAGAAAGACTGAGCACATGCTTTATTTAGAAGCTGCATTACACAAATACTTCAACAGGTAAGTCCAAGGATCAAAACTGCATTTAGGCAGAATCACATCTTCCCATGGCCATTGCATCTTCACAGACACTTCTCTGCCATCAGCCTCACCAGGCACACACTGCACTCCTTAGCCTAAGGCCACCAGAATCACATTATGGAACTGTTGCCCCATTGAACTGAATTCTGTTACATTGTGCTGTGGACATCCTAGAGACCAGAATTTCTGAATGTCCTGAATGTGCTCATGTTAAGAGAATTGAGGGTGCAAAAAATTGCAGAATGTGGCCCTAACAAAGGGAAATCTTTTGTGCTCTGAAGAAAACAATAAAACTTTAAATTTCTACAAAATTGGAGCAGATAATTCCAGTTGTTTCACTGTGGTGGCCAGGCAGAGTGGGGAAGATATCTTAGGCTAACAAACTAACCCAGTTTTTCCTGCAGTCTCCACTTGGGAGCAGCTCAACTACAGCAGGGTAAGTTTGTTCAGCAAACTTACCTCATGTCCTGTGTTCAGTGCTGTGTTTATTCACAGGCAGGTGTTCAGGCCAGGTGTGCCATGGAGCTGATCTGTGGCTCTGCATGCAGCATGGACTTGGCAATGCTCTCCTGGCTACTTACAAACTGGATTTCCTGGGACTGGATCTTGCCCAGCTGACCATTGATGATTTAGATACCACTCCTAGGGAAGCTTGGATATAGAAGAACCTTCAAGATCATCTTGCTAGCTTCTGCAACAAACAGGCCAGAAATCCCATGCAGGAAACCTGCCTGAAACCTGCTCTGACTGAATTAGATAAAAGGAGAAACAGGGTCAGTTTTGCTCTCTCCTGCCCATAATGTATCACCAGTGCTGCTCAAGGGGGCTGAAAATGAAACAGAAAGAGGTTGGATTTTTGAATGTATTTATTTCACTGATCAATTCAGGTAGTAAACATTAATAATAATAACAATAATCATTTAATAAAATGGATATGTTTAAAAGGTTTCATTTTCTTTGTTCACAATGACAAAATGTTCAAACAGAAATTTACAAAAAAAATATATAATTATAATAACCCAACAGATGGACAGGAAACATAGAGCCTAGGAATGGAGCAGGGGGTGAGGAAGGTGCATGGCAGGAGCAAGCCAGCATTGAAGCACAGCAGTTTGTGAGGAAGAGCAGGGAATGCCATTGCAGAGCACGAGTGGGAGCCCCTCCTGTGAGGGGAGGCATGCAAGGAGGCAGCAAGGACTGCACAGGCAGGACCAGCACAGCAGTGGCACACAAGGAGTTCATGCCATGGATCCATCCTGTCAGGCACAGGGGCCAAGATGTACCAACAGCCCCAGCTGCAGCCTGGGATAGCTGTGGGTGGGACACCATCCCTGCAGCCACTCACTCAGCAGGGCAAAGCTTGGCAGAGGCATGGGAATGTGCCAGGGGTGCAGGGATTGTATGTGAGGCTGTGGGGGTTGCATGAGGGGAGGTGTTAAATTGCTTTTCTATCCACACTTCTCACTGCCAGAGCCACATAAGCCCCCTGTGTTCAGGAGTCTCTTCTCCACTTACTGTGAGAATTGATGCCACAGTACAACACACTCCTTAAATAAACAGATTCCACCTTCTGGGCCAAAATCTGAACCCCTGATGTCCCCCAAAATCAGTCTCTAATCCCTTTCCAAGCAGTCCCTAAATTCTGGCACTCAGGCCAGGGAACATCCTACAGAGACATGATTTCAGATACCACCACCCCTCTGTGGAAGCTATCTCTGGTGCCTCACTCCTGTGTGGCTTTTCCCAAATGCAACTTGAACCATCTTTGCCAGCTGGTAGCCAAAGGCTTCAGCTCCCTGTAGAGGACAGGTTTGTGACCCTTGACTTGATGCAGGAGGCACTGAGCTGAGCTGATGGAGAATCCCCAGGTGGAGGGATGGGCAGATCCAGCCTCAGCAGCCCTGCCTGTGACGGTGAGCCCTGTGCTTTCACCAGCACACAGCATCTCTGTGCACAGCCCAGCATCAAAGCTGTCAGCTGCTCCATGGCCATGCTAAAGGGGAAAGCTCTCCTTTATCTTCTAGGAATGAATCTGTTTGAAAGAGGAAAATCTCCAGGTGGACAGGGCTCATTTGCAACAGAACATCCTCCTCACCAAGACTTTGTAAGAAAAGAGGGGACAGGTTGCTTCAAGATGTTTCCTTTTATGTCAGCACAGACAAAGCTGAGAACTCAGCTGTCCACCTTTCTGGAAAACCTGGAGGAAGCTCCTGTTTCAGGCTACTCCACTGCTCAAGTAAGCACATCATGCAAAGAAAGGCTGTACTTCCTCTCAGGTGCCTGAGTCCTTCTTGTTACTGAAGTCAAGCTGAATCCTTCTGCCCTCCTGGGATGGCACTGCCACTAATGAGCCCAAAATAAGGGAGCATGAAAAAAAACCCCTGAACATTGTTGAACCCTGCTCTTGCCCAGCATACACAGTTCTGTGAAAGGGCTTCCATCCTTATTTTGTCCTTCCACATGGTGCCTTCCCCTGCCCCTACAGCCCATGCACTTGCTAAGCAGAGTCTCTGTACAGTGAATAACTGGAACCAGCCAACCTACTCACCACCTGGACAAGCCCTGACAGGGCTCTGAAGCCCCAGGGAGGATTCAGACAAATGCAGTGCCTGGTAACAGAACCTAGGGCCTGGCTATTCCTGGCCAACACTGAGCTTCCTACCCAGGGAGATCTACTGGGGAGATCCAGAGATGGAGGAACAGATACAAAAGGGGAAAGGGGGCAGAGGAGTCAGGCAAGGAGCAGAAGGGCCCAGCCCATGACTGCACTCCCTGGAGTCAGAGGGAAGAGCCAAGTGTCTCTCCCTCCAACAGCCCTGACTCCTGTCAGCGTGGCAGTGTTGCTGGCAAGCCCTGCCCTGTCAGGCACATCACACTCCAGGGCTCTGCTCTGGCTGCACGCAAGTTAAAAATACTGCAGGAAGCAAGAACAGGACAGGAGCTGCTGCCCAAAGAGAGCTTTTATCTCTGCCCAGCAGACCCACCAGCCTTCCCAGAACTAGGGCAGGAAGAGCCAAGGAATAAGGAGGGGGAGAAGGGTTGAGTGCCCAGGGGAAAGGCAGGGGAGCAAGAGCCAAGCCTGCTGGGCTGTGCTCAGCCCCACTCAGTGACAGTCCTGCACCTGCCAGGCTGACCCAACACTTGCCCACACAGACTGCCTGCAGATCTCTGTACAAGCCTACAACAACTGCCCCCTCCCCCAGGAGAAGCTTGGAGCCAGCAATGTGCTCATGGGACCGCAAAGCCTGGGGGTAGGGGACAGGTCTGCATTTTGGGTTGGATTTCAGCCCTAGGGCTTCTACCCCCTCCAAAGCAGTCTTGGCAAGTGCTCTGGACGCCACAGAGCTTTTCAGAGCAGACACTGAAGACACACTGCAGGTGATGACCAGAGCTAAACCATGAAACACCCTCACCCAGCTACTGCAGGGCCTTAGGGTTCCTCTGCCAATGCCTCCAGCCTGCTGTGGGAGGAAGCCATGGCAGGCAAAGTGCTCACTCCCATCACCTCCTTGCAGGCAATAGTCAACAACTCAACTTCTCTGCCAGAAAGATGTAACTGAGAACAGTTTTCTTGTAACCAGCCTCGAGGCACTCAGTCTCTTGCTGTTCAGTGCAAACATCCTGGAGTTTTCTTGATAGGAAGAACAAAACCAACCAACTAAACAAAAAAATCCATAAAAACCTGGACAGGATACCAGGCAATCATCAGGAGTCCTGAGCAGGTCAGTGCACAGAGGAACCCCCAGCCCCAGTTCTCTGGGCCAGCACTGTCCCCAGGCTGAGAAGCAGCACAGGTCAAACTCACAGGAGGGCATGGCTGCCTTTACAATGCTTGTGCTGGCCCCAGACAAGGGGGACAGGGACAGGGGCACAGCACCTCAGTTGGGAGTAAACACCTACGTGCAGTGACACAGATACTTTAAGTTTGTACACCAGAGAAACCAGGACTTTAAATACCAGAGCATTCCCAAACAAGAGATTAGTACATAGGAAAGGGGGATCTTTTTCTTTTCTTATTTTTTTAGGATACCTTAGAGACGTCCCAGGCTAGTTTCTTAAAAAAAAAAAAGAAAAAAAAGGAAAAAAAAGAAACAAAAGAATAATTATTAAAAAAGAAATACACATCAGTAAACTGTTAAGTGAACAGCCTCCTCCACAATCCAGCTGGTCAAAAAGCCAGCACTGCTGCAAATAAATTAGAGGGTGCGGGTGCAGCTCTTGCCCACAAGTCTCTTTACAACAGGAAACCTTTTCTAAGTGTTCACAGCTCTTGCCAGGTCTCAGATGGTTGCTGGGGGATCCCCTCTGCCCTCCAGGTACCTGCCTCTCACTGATCCTGCATCTGCTGCTGCATCTTCTGCAGCATCTCTTGCATCCGCCGTAACTGCAGAAGACAGGAGAGAGACTGAGAAAGGGAGCAGAGGATCCACACGTGGCAGCCCTTGGAGCTGGCAAGGGGATCCCTCAGGGGGTGTGAACTCCTGCCTGAGCACAGAGGCACCATGTCTGGGTGGAAGGAAGCTGTGTTTCCCTGACAGAGGCAGCCACAGCTTTCAACCCTGTCCTCCACCCCAGGAGCCCACAGGGGGACACAGGAGTGGGAGCCTCAGGACCGCCTCTATGGGGCAACCCTGGAGAAACTCCTGGGATTCCAGCTCCAGCATGCAGGAGGCACAGGCACAAATGGTACTCACCTCCTCATCCTTCATCTTAATCAGCTTCTCTGTCTCTGTGTCTGGTGTTGGGAGAGGCAGGATAGGAATGGGGCTTTCTATCCTGTTGTCCTGAGTCAGCTTGCTAGAGAGATGGAGAGAGGGGGGAGGAGCAGTCACTCATGGTCCAGGATGGCTGGCTTTGGTGTCACCACACAATGACTGTCACTC